TAGCAAGCACAAAGTGCTGGGTTTATATATTCTCCAGTAATGTATAAGCTGGGAGGATCAGCAGTTCAAGATCATCCTAGGCAACACAGCAAGTTCAAGCCTGATCTACAAGGGAACCTCTCAAAATAGAACAAACAAAATCCATAAACCCTCTAAATCAGTGGCTTGAAAGGGCACCATTAAAGATCAAATTAACAGGACCCAGTGCAAAGGAATGGAGGTGATACCCTGTAAAAGGAAGTTACATCAGAGAAATTACATGCCCTTGAAGGGAACATTGGGATCCAAGCTCCTTATTCTCTCTCTTTGCTGCCTGGCTGTTATGAACATTCCTGCCACAGTTTGCTCAGACCCCAAAACAATGGAGCCAACTGACCATGGCTGCAACCTCAGATGATTGTTTCTTTGGTAGAAAGATGACTAACATGTATGTTCAATAACAGCCTTTCTGTTTTCTGTATGCGTGGGGGGGGCTGGGGAGGGAGAGAAGGAGGTGGGGAGAGAGGTAGGGAGAGGGAGAGAGAGGGGGAAGGGGAGAGAGGGGGAGAGGGAGAGAGATGGTAGGGCTTCAGGGATGCTAGGCAAACACTTTACCAGTGAGCTGACCTCCAGCTCCCCCTCCTTGACTTCTTTTTTTTCTTTCTTACTTTTTTCTTTTTTGAAACAGGCTCTCATGTAGTCCAGGATGGCTGCAAACTTACTATGTAGTTGAGGATGACATAAATTTTTGATCCTCCTGCCTCTATCTCCCAAGTGTAGGGATTACAGCTATGAGCCACTTCAACTGGGCTCTTCCTTCCTTCCTTCCTTCCTTCCTTCCTTCCTTCCTCCCTTCTTCCTCTTTTCTTCCTTCCTTTCTTTCTTTTTCTTTCCTCCTTCCTTCCTTTTCTTCCTTTCTTTTTCTTTCTTTCTTTCTTTCCTTCTTCCTTCCTTCCTTCCTTCCTTCCTTCCTTCCTTCCTCTTTCTTTCTTTCTTTCCTTCTTCCTTCCCTCCTTCCTTCTTTTCTTCCTTCCTTCCTCTCTCCCTCCCTCCCTCTCTTCCTTCTTTCCTTCCACCCTTCCTTCCTATTCACTGGAATTTGGTGCAATCACAGCATTGTAAAACGATCACTTCCTTGTAGTTTCAAAACCTACCCAGAAAAATACTCACACTCACACTTCTTAGGAAGCCATTCCACATCCCAACCCTGTAACCTCCTGGTGACAGTCAGTTTGCTTCCTATCCCCACAGATTTGATTAGTCTAATTACTTTATTCAAAAAGATCCATGCCACATATGAACCCATGTTTGGCGTCTTTCACTTTTAAAAGTTGTTTCCAAGGTTTACTGTCAAAACATGGAGAGGAGGAGACATTTTAAAAATTATTTAGAGCTGGGGCTGGAGGGATATCTCAGTGGTGAAGAACAACGCTTGCCCTTTTAGAGGACCTGAGTTCAGTTCCCAGCTCACAATTGCCTGTAACTTCAGTTCCAGCTAGTACAAACACACACACACACACACACACACACACACACACACTTTTATTTGTGTGTGTCTATGTGAATGGATCCCATGGTGAGTGTGGGGGGTTGTAAGAAACATGAACATGAACTGAAATGAATGAACTACACAGTTTTAATTAACTAACAAAACAATGTTGAGCAAAAAAACTTACAAAACAATAGGGCTAGGTGCAGTTCAGTAGCCGAGCATTGACTGGCTTAACATGCAAGGCTCTGGGTCTGATTCCAAGCACCACACACACACACACACACACACACACACACCACACACACACCACACACACACACACACCACACACCACACACACACACACACACACACACACACACACACCACACACACAGGGGCTCGGGAGATGGGGAAGAGGAGGAGGGAGGAGGAGGAGGAGGCAGATTTCCCAGCATGCATCAAACAAGAAAGGCATGTACCAAAAGTCAGGCATGTGACTCTCACCATAGCTTTATTCATGAAGGACCAACTAGAAACAATGCACATGCCTGTTAGTGATAAAACTCATACAGTGTAATTGTATACAGCACTGAGAATGAACATATGAAAACATGGATAGTTCTTATAAACCTCATGTCAAGATAAGGAAGGCAGATAGAAAAGAGCCCAGAAAGGCAACCTGAATGTTTGTACAGAGTTCACACCAAGAGAGAATGCTACATGTTTGGGATGGTTTATGTTGAGAGATGTGCCTGGAAGCAGACATAAGGTGGGGGGGTATGAGATTCTGGCCATATCCTTCCTTTTTCCTTCCTTCCTTCTTTCCTTCCTTCCTTCTTTCCTTCTTTTTTTCTTCCTTTCCCCTCCCTCCCTTCCTCCCTCCCTCCCTTCTTTCTTTCTTTCTTTCTTTTTGGTCTGAGACAGTGTTTCTCTGTGTAGCTCTGGCTGTCTTGGAACTTGCTTTGTAGACCAGGCTGGCCTTGAACTCACAGAGATCTGCCTGCCTCTGCCTCCTGAGTGCTGGGATTAAAGGTGTGCATTACCACCTCTTGGCCCTTTCTTCCTTTTTAAAAAGATTTTTAATTTTACTTTTTATTAGTTCAAATTAGAAACAAGCTTGCTTACATGTCAGTCCCTCCTCTCTCTCTGTTTCTTCCTTTTTAAAATATGTTTTATTATGTGGCCTCAAACTTGTGATCCTCCTGCCTCAGACTTCTGAGGGCTGAGATTACAGGTGCCAGCTTCCATACTTAGATTCTGGTGGTTTTTTTTTTTTAAATATTTTTATTTGTTTATTTTATGTATATGAGTGCTTTGTTTTCATCCATACCAGAAGAGGGCACCAGATCTCATTACAGATGGTTGTGAGCCATTATGTGGTTACTGGGAATGGAACTCAGGACCTCTGGAAGAGCAGCCAATCAGTGTTCTTAACCGCTGAGCCATCTCTCCAGCCCTCAGATTCTGTTTTTAATGGTGGTAAAGTTGCTGTCTAAACCATCTGATGCACCAGCCATTGTGGCTCAGGCCTATAACCCCTGCACTTGGGAGTCAGAAACCAGAGGATCAGGAGTTCGATTATTGTGGGATACTAGCATGTTTGAAGCTGGCCTGGGTTCAAAAGAAGTACTTTAGAAACCAGCAATTCCTTGCCTCTTTCCCAGCCCCTGGCAACAGATTTTCCATACTGTCTCTAGGAATTTGGCTCATCTAAGTTCCTCAAACGGGTCGACTCCAGTGGCAGCATCTGTCCTTTGAGTGTCTGGCTGGTTTCTCTGAGCTGAGGTCATCATGATTCTCTCTGCTGTAGCTTTGAGTCAGGACTCCTTTTTTCCCTAAGGTTGGTAATAATGCCACCATGCATGCAGACCATGTTTTGTTGGTCCAGGCATCTATCTGCCCACAGAGTTTCTTCCTCCTGTTGGCTGCTGAGAA